CATTTCATTTATATAAGAACTACATTGATTTTGGTTCTAGATTCACCCCTGTTTAAAAATATTGTTCCGTTAAAATTAGAAATCATAAATTTAAATCCGCTTCTCATACCCTTTCGTTGGCAACCCAAAAGAAAAACCCAATATCAAGAACTTACAAAAACTATGTAAAATGTGTTTATTACAACATCATACATTTATTAGATAAAGAATTATATTGTGCATTAGTAAATACATATTAATTTTACCGAAAGCTAACAGAAAAGGCAGTTAATAAACTCTAATGTTTATTACATTTAACATTTTAATGTGTCTTTAAGTTTGATATTACTTTGTAACAGGTCGGAGGACAAGGACTTTCATTGCATCATTTTGTATGCAACTGAATTTATTTGTGTGAATTTTCTAATTAGTTATGAAAAAATGGGTTCTCACTATAGAAAGATGCATTTGATGACATACACTGCATGTCATTAAAGAGTATACATGACACATAAATGTTTTTCATTGGAAACCCATTCATAAAGATGACATGCATTTTTTGTCACAAATTTACGACATATATATATATATATATATATATATATATATATATATATATATATATATATATATATATATATATATATATAATATATATATATATATATATATATATATATATATATATATATATATATATATAAACTTCAAATCACGTTGCAGATTCATTCACTAAGGTCCTGCCAAGCATGAAAATGATCAACTTCTACGAGACAGTGGGAATGGTGAATGTTGGTGTTGAGGAGTATTAAAATACAACACCAACCCATGTGCATCACTATGTTGTTCATGTACCTATCTTTTATTATATGTTATGTTTACTTTATTTATGTTCCCAGCAAGTTCATTTGACTTTGTCTTTTAGGTAGTAGGTAGTCCTCCTTAGCATTAGGCACATCATGTTAATGGAGTAGTTTCCTTATTCTGTTATTTCCTTTTCATCGTGTAAGCCTATTAAGACATCTAGTTCTTATTTTTCATTAATCACGTAATACACAGGCTTTATGTAAGGTGCCTTGTGTTAATTTCTCCCTGAAACTACTTCACTTTTGTTAACAAAGTGTAGATTTTCCAACCAAGTCGTGTTATCTTTCTCATTCAGCACGTTGTCTGCATAAACATAGGCCAATCTAATCAAAGGTGGCGGTCACCATAAAGTAGTAAGAAAAGGTGTTTTGAACCAGGAAAAGAGATCGATAGAAGCTGGGGAAATTAAAGACAGACTGAGTTTTTTTTTTTTTTTTTTTTCAAGATGACACACAAATAGGAGAAAGGTAGCCCGTGTATTTCTTTTAATTTTGACTTACGTTTTGTATGTTTGTACATCATAATTTTTCGAAAGATGACATATTATGATAGAAGTCTGTCTTAAATCCTTAAGATTTCTTGAAACATGACATAATGTTTACGTCGGATTTTTTTGTCCGCCAAAATTAGTTTGCATCACATTCGTTGTCATTCAAACCCCTTTTTCTACTAGTGATATATATTCACTTAATTAAATGTCAAAAGCATTGAATTCACTTAAATTAAAAAATAATTATAGCTTAAAGATGCTCATTGACGACACTTTGAAGAGAAAGCAAGGAAAATGGGCGATCTAAAAATGGAGGTTTCTGTTTCATTGTTTCATTCAGACAAAACGTAATAATAGGCTGACCGGTCTATGTTCAGTTTTTTTTTTAAAACCACATAATAACCTCAACGTCATCGACCTTGAATCCCTAAGTTATAAGATCTTTGCAACATTCATCTCTTCCTCTAGTACATCTACTTTGGCGTCTGCTCTTTCACTGCGTAGCTTCTCATTTGCCTCTAATATTCGCTTTGGGTTTTTGCAAATAGTATTAGCAGCAACAAAATTCTTTGAAGAGCCAATATGGATCCTCCTTTCATGATTGTGCACATAAGTAGGTCTGGTTAGCTCTTTTTTCCCCAATGATTGGCCATCTTGAAGCATCAAAACGACCTCAAACATGGTTGGTCTCTTCGTAACTGGTGATTGGGTGCACAACAAAGCAATCTCAATGATCTTCATCACATGTTCTTGTTGGTGTTGGTTCAAGTCCAGTGTCATGTCAATGAATTCCATATGTACTTTCTTCTCATATGACTTCCATGCCTGTTCACCCAATCATATAAAAAAAATTAAGAATTCAGTAACGATTTTACAAAGAATGTTTTGCTTTCGTATTCTTTCTTCATGCTATGTTTTGAGGAAGGACACATGTTTTTTTGTATCTTATTTTATCTTTCTTTCTTCTCATATGTACTGCACCTCCTATGCAATAAGTTTTTTGTTTCTTATTAATCTGAATAAACGATCTTGTCGTTCTCTAAAAAGAACAACTAAATATGAGAAAAAGGTATTAATATGGTATCTCACATGTTCCAGTAGGTAGTCGGAGGTTGATTTGTCAGATGTCACTTCGGTACTCCTTCGGCCACTAATGATTTCAAGAATCACGACTCCAAAGCTGTACGTGTCAACTTTATCTGATAAAACACCTTGAAGTGCATATTCTGGCGCTGTGTAACCCCTGACATTGTATTTCATAGTAAAAATTAATAAAATAACTTAATTATACACAAACAGAGGATCGATTTAATACAACACAGTAGTTGTATCAAAAATCAATCTTACAATGTCCCAGCAAACTTGGTGATAACATGAGTTTCATCCTCAGGTAGAAACCTTGCTAGCCCAAAATCTGCTATCTTTGGTTTAAAATCATCAGTAAGAAGAATGTTGTTTGATTTTATATCTCTATGAATGATTTTGACATGAAATTCGTTGTGTAGATAAGCAAGACCCCTGGCTATCCCAAATATTATTTCATATCGTTGGTTCCAGTCCAGAGTGCCCCTTTTTGAACCTTCATTATGAAGAGATATTAATAACATACCAAGTGTTTCTAAATATTGAATTTCATATGAATAATTATTAATAGTTTTGCAACATCAACTTACCCCATAAGAATTGATCAAGGCTTCCATTTGGCATATATTCCAGGACTAGAAAGAGATGAGATCCTTCACGTGACCATCCAAGGAGACGTAGAAGATTTCGATGATGAATGTCACTTATAAGCTTAACTTCATTTTCAAATTCTTCTTTTACTCTACCATGTTGTACGTGAAGTTTCTTTACTGCCACAATATTCTTATCATCAAGGGTTGCCTATAATTCAACAATTTAAGAGTTTGTTTGAATTAATGAATAATAAGGAAATTATATCTCCAATTTGTTTGTAGAAAATGAGAAATGTTGGCTAGTGATATCTAAAGTTAAGTTGATAGGTTAACTGATAGGTATTGACTTATACTACAAAATTTGGTAATATCACAATAACAAGCTATGTAGGAATATGCACTTGTCACCATTTTGCCACCATTTAATAAAGATAGCATTTAATATTTAATATAGGTAGGAGGATAATAGAAAGAAAATATATAAGGATATTTAATTTTTCAAATTGAAATCAATAATATCATGGTTATCAAAATTGCGATCCTGATCGTAGGATCGTACAATCCTACGATCCTAAGTATGAAAAACGATCTGGATCGTAAAATGATCGTATCTGGGGTATGATCGCAGGTAGGATCGTAAGATCGTAGGTAGGATCGTAAGATCGAGATCCGATCCGATCCTACCTCCCTTGATTTTTTTATTTTTTTATTTTTTTTTTGCAAATGAATTTTTTTTACCACTTTATATCTTTTATCCTTTACTAATCTACCATTTATCATTTTTTATTGTAACTTATGACTAATATTTTGAAGTTTTTATAACTTTTGAAGGAAAAATTAAATGTTTGAAATATTTTTCATGATTAAATATTATAAATTAAAATTATATTTTATTTTGTGGGATCTTAGGATCTCGATCCCGATCTTACAAACCCAAAAACGATCCTAGGTAGGATCCCGGTCTTGACAACCTTGAATAATATCATTCGGATACAAAAATTCTATTTTATTACCTTGAATACTTCACCAAAACCTCCTTTCCCTAGAATATTCTCTTCCCCAAAATTATTGGTAGCCAACTGCAGATCGTTATAATTGTAATGTACTGCACCTTTCAAATCCGCGGCTTCCATGGCATAACCTGGTCGACATGTATACAGATAGAGTTTATTGTTATAATTATTATAAAATATAATAATATGATTAGAACTATATATAACTGGAAAAACAACATATGAATAATTCCACATGATCACCCACATCACACACCAACCCTGTCAACCAAGTGTCAAGAAGACAAATACTAAATTACTAATGTCTCATAAATACACATAAGACATTTATACAATCACATTGCTCAGTCTCTTGATCAGTTTAAAATCTATTGGTGATCAACTTCAATATAATTATTATATATATAATTAAATCGACAATTCATACTTCCTGGTGTTGTTCTTTTCCTTGATCGACGATACCACAAAAGTATAAGTATTAGCAAGATGATCACACCAACAACACCTCCTATAATGGCTCCCTTGTTGCTTGAACCTCCTGTACATGGAAATATTATAAGATAGCATGCATGTTGATGCACTTGTATTGAATTCCTTATTTTCAAAATAGGTCGAATAATATTTTAAGTGTAGCGATTAATAAATATAATAAGAAATTAGCATAGGGATTTCATAAGTTTTACCATCTCGTAAAAACGGCGTGATATCAATAATTGTGTTGTTGGGGAAAAATGGAGAGGCTGAGTACCTCATAAAACACCCAGAATCAACACCCCTCCCATCAGTAACATCAGCTGTGCAAACTCTTGTGTTAGCATATGCCACTTGTAAGCAATTTCTGCAATCATCGTGTGTTATTGAAATGGCACACTGTGCGATAGCATATGCAGTACTTGTATTGGTGCCAATAACGGGTGCTGTGGCGGCAGCAAAGAAACCATTTATTTTTGGTGTGGCGATAGAAAGATCAGACATCAATCCATCCACAGTGGTTTCGAAAACACTTTGTCTTGATGATGTGTGGTTGCCACATAATCCATCATTTCCTGGCGCTGTTGATTGACTGTAGAATGAATTACCCTCGTACCTTAAAAATAGAATAACTGTTTACTCTAGATTTATACTGGATATTACAAAAAAAGAGTGATTGAGATGTGAAATATTGAAAATACAAAAACTCTAAAATGGTATAATTATATATAGTTTCTTATGTTGGGATTCAACAAAACAAAACAAGTTAAGGACTTCTAACAAAATGATAAACGATTTCGATAACACACGTGGAATAAAACTATTGAAAAGATTGCAAACAAAATATAAAATCGGAACATAATATTTAATGTGGTTCGGTCAAATTTGACCAACATCCACCGGGAGAGAGAGAGAGAGAGAGAGAGAGAGAGAGAGAGAGAGAGATTAATTATTACCAAGAAAATTACAATCATACAAGGCAAAACTGCACTTGTAATCTGATCACTCATTATAAGGTATCACTCGTATTTTTGGTTGCCAAAAATAAGACTCTACACAAAAGAAAACAACCTCACTCTTAATTTTCTATATGTGTATCTTGTTCTTTTGTTGTTATATTAGGAAGCAAGGGGGGAATGCTTATTTTTAGGGTTCATGTTTAAGCCACAAACACTACATGCATAAGAAAAATTGAAGTTTGCATCATTCACACACGTAAAAGTCTTCAAGGCTACATATACGTAGCACTCCCTATTTTCATGTCTTCACACACACATATAGATTAAATGTCTTCAAACACTTATTTTCATGTGTTCACATACATATAGAATAAATGTCTTCAACCATTTACCTAACAATTAATTTTACTGCCACTTTTGACATCCATACCTTCACACATGCACACCTAACAATTTCTCACTTGAAGGCTTGAATAACTTAGCCTTTCTCTGCCATACAAAACCTTGCAACATTCCTTAATCTCTCTCTCTTTTTCTCTCTCTCTCTCTCTGTATATATATATATATATATTGCTTTCTGTCATGCCTTTTTTTGAAACTTTTGAAAAGACAATTGAAGCCATACAAAGCTTCAACGTCTTAGTGGTAACCACATTGGTGAACATAATTATTGGATTCTTCGTTCCAAGGATTTTCTTCAGATTTAGAGTTTCATCATTAATTAACTCTCGAATGCAACAGTACCCCATATGAATGTATGTCATTTTATTGTGAAACATCGAGGTCTTTGCCAAATAAACTACACTCTGGTTGTCAAAATGCAGTACACAATTCTCCTGCTACACTCTAAGTTCTGATAAGAAATTCTTCAACCATACAAGCTTCTTGGCTTCTTCTGCAATAGACATATACTCTGCTTATGTGGTTGAGATAGCAATACTCTTCTACAATCTAGACATCCAACTGATTGGCGTACCTCCGATTATGAACACATAACATGTTGTGCTTTTACATGAATCCATATATCCACCCAAAAATGTGTCGACGAACCCTTCTAAGACCATCCTTTTTCTTCTGAAACATAGGGAAACCTCAGTCATTCCTTTCAAGTAGCATACATCCACTTTACTCCCTCATAATGTTCTCTTTTTCGATTTTACATGAACCTCGTCACAACTCCTATGACATGAGAAATATTTGGTCAGGTTCATACCATAGCATACATTAAGCTCCTAACTGCAGATGCATAGAGAACTTTAACCATTTGTTCCATGTCTTCTTTGGTCTTTATGGATGTTTATTTGTGAGTCTCAAATAACTATCCAAAGGTGTACTTCTGACCTTAACATTTGCCATGTTGAACTTTTCTAAAACCTTCTCGAATACTTAGCTTGTTAAAATTTTAGTGTACTGGTAACTTTGTTCCTCGCTATGCATATGCATAATACTTGCTTAGCAGCCCTTAGGCCCTTTATCTTGAACTCGTTTGGCAACCGCTTCTTAAGCTTGTGGATCTCATGCATGTCAGATACATCGATCAACATGTCATCAACATACAATAACATGATGATGTATGAGGAGTAGAATTTATTCAAGTAAAAATAATGATTCATCTCACATCTGTGATACCCACTCCTTTGCATTAAGCTATCAAACTTCAAGTACCATTTCATTGGAGCTTGCTTCAATTCATATAGACTTCTCTTTAGGTTGCACACCGCATTTTCCTTACCATTTGTGGGAAAACTCTTTGGGTGTGCCATGTATATGTCTTCTTTTAGGTCACCATGGAGAAAAGTTATCTTCAAATATAGTTACTCTAGATGGAGATCTTAGAAGGCTACAATACCCAAGATCATTTTGATTATATTCATCTTCACAACTAGAGAGAAGATCTCTTTGTAATAAACCCCTCTCTTCTATTAAAACCCATTGACCACTAACCTTACATTATACTATTTGGTGTCATCAATCTAATATTTGAAACGAAACACCCATTTCTTTAATAGTTATTTCCTCCCTATGAAAGCTTGACCAAGGACCAAGGACCAAGGTTCACCATTCTCAGTCAACAACAAGTAATTAGTTGATGGAGAGTACATGAATGTAGGTTTTTTACTATAGTAGATCTACGGATGATAGAAGTAATTATCTCTACATCATCTGCAACCTCCTCCTTTGAACTAATATCATCTGATTGTTTTTCACTATTGGAGCTTTTTTCAAGTTCATCCTTGTATAGAGCACTCTCGTTGAACACCACATCCTGAATCATGATAACCTTCTCATTCTTGTTATCCTAAAAGCAATACCTCATGTCATCTAACATGTAATCTACAAAGGTGTACTATCCTGCTTTGCCTTTAGCTTATTTCTCTTTGAGTCTTTAACTTTGACATACGAACCATAATTGAATACCGTCAAGTGTTTTAGCAAAATATCCTGACCTTTTCCATTTCGCTTATGTAATATTGAACCCTATAGGGACTAAGGGTCTTCTGTTGATTGAATATGCAGTTGTATTGACTAAATATGCCTATAACTTCATAGGTAAACCTACATGTAGTTTCATGCTTTTATCCCTCTCGTTTAATGTTCATTTAATCCTTTAAGCTACCCCCTTCTACTGAGGTGTCCTTGGAACTGTCCTCTGCATTCTGTTTTGTTGGTTAGCGCAGTAATCAAAAACTTCTTTGCTACTGTATTCGACTCCATTATCTAATCTGAAATACTTAATTTTTCAAGTTTGTTTCATTTTGCACAATAGCTTTCCATTTCATGAATGTGCTAAAAACTTTAGACTTATATGTTTCAAGAAATAAACCAAAAATTTCCTCATGCAATCGTCAATAAACATGACATAGTACTAGGATCCTCCCATTAAAGGAACTGAATTGGGACCATAAACATCTGAATGAACTAACTCCAACTTCCTGGACTTAGGCAGATGTCCTATCTTCATGAAAATAACCTTCTTTGTTTACCAAGTACACATGACTCATAGAAATTGACTATCATAGTCTTTAGATATACTATCCATCCATTGGAGACTAGCATCTTCATTCCATATCATTCATATGCCCAAGTCTTTGGTTTCACAATGTAGATGCCCCAACTTCTTCAATGGCATACACTTCAGAATTAGAAACTGCCACCATATAAAGTGTACCCCGCTTCTGACCTCCAGCAACAACTAAGTTTCCCTTTGTCACCTTCCACTAATGATCATCAAATGTAACATGGTGACCATCATCAAGTTGCCTTACTGATATTAACATCCTCTTCAGGTCTGTAATGAACTTGACATTCTTCAAAGTCTAATTCATAATCAAATTTGTCTTGATGACCACCTCCCCAACACTAGTAATATTCAGGCTCTTGTTATCTACTAATGTAACCCTCCCATTGTACTACCATAAATTTTGCATTAATTCTATGGAATGACTAGAATGGAACGACATTCACTTATTTCTTGCCTTTATATGTCGAAGGATTTGGGCACTAATTTCTAAAATGACCTTTCTCTTTGCCGTTCCATTGTGTAATATCCTTCATGTTTTTCGAACGACCTCTATTTCTCATCTTTGATCTTCATCTACTACAACCTCCTCTATTAGAACCTTTTCATCTATCTTTGGTACATAGAAGAATATTATAAGCTTCTTCAACAATCCGTCTATGCACATCCTCACCGAGGATTGAATCACAAATACCTTCGAACATCAACTTAGCACATGCGGTTGAACTACTAATTATCGTCATTTTACCAGACCAACTACCTCCCCAGGATAATAATAATAATAATAGTAGCAACTCCATGACTTCATCCTCAAATCCGATATCAATTGAAATGAACCTTGAGATGATTGAATTAAATTTGTTAACATGATCAGTCACCAAGCTACCCTCCTTCATCTTCAGATTCACCAATTGTGTGATCAAGAAAGTCGTATTCGTCGTTGAGTGTTTTTCATGGATGTTATACAACGCCTTGAGTAACCCAAACATTGTTCTTTCATTGATAATATTATAGGCAACATTCTTTGAAAATAACAACCTGACTACACCAAGAGCCTAACAATCTAACATATCCCATTCCTCCTGTTCTAACACGTCTGACTATCTTTCAGACAATGGTAGGTGTAACATCTTCTAGTAGAGATTATCTTCGATTTTCATTTTCCAGAAACCAAAATCTTGACCATGGAATTTTTCGATTTTAAGTTTCCCACCTTCAACCATGGCTCTAATACCATTTTGTTGGGATTCAACAAAACAAGTTAAGCACTTCTGACAAAATGATAAATGATTTCGGTAACATAAAGTGGAATAAAACTATTGAAAATACCGCCAACGAAAACCAATATTAGAAAAAAAATATCTAATTTGGTTCGGTCAAATCTAACCTACATCCATGGATGAACGAGAGAGAAAGAGAGGATTTTATTATCACCAAGAAATATTACAATCATACGAGGCTAAACTGTACTTGTATTATGATCTCTCATCGTAAGGTATCACTCTTATTTTTATCCATAAAAAATA